CTGGCTCTGGGTATTACAGATTAGTGGTTTGGGGTTACAGTGGCAGTGATGGCAGTGATGGGTGGACTGGTTGATCTTGAAGGGCTCTTCCAACCTTGATGATTCTATGAAGTTACATTAGTCCTGCTGCTGTCCTGGCCAAATCGAATTACACCATGCGGTCAGAGACGGACACCGTTACTTGAAATTCTGCGATCTCCCCACACCTCCACCGCCAGGGGGCGCTGCGCGGCCGCCCAGCCGCCGCCGTCACGTGGGCGGAAGCGGCGCTGCCGGACCGGCCGCGGCTGCGGGAGCCGCGTCTGTTCCCGGCCCTTCCCTTCCCTTCCCGGCCCTTCCCGTCCCTGTCCCGGCCCCGCGGTGAGAGCGAGGTGGCTGCGGCGCCCTCCGCCCCTTCCTCCGCCGCGTGTGAGGGCCTGCCGTGGTGATCCGCGGGCCGGCTCGGCCGCGCCCGTGCCGCCGGGCTCGGGGTGGGGCGGCGGCGGGAGGGGGTCGTGTCCGTGTGCGGGACTCGCAGGTGGGAGGCGGTGAGGCGGTGCCGGACGGGCCCCGGGGAGGCCGCCGCTGCAGGTAGCTCTTATGAGTTTTCCTGTTAAATAATTGATATTTTGAGTGATTCCCTTGGGTTGGGCTCTCGTGCTACGTTCTGACCCGGTACGATGCAGGGGTAGCGTGTTTTCCTGTTTGCACCTTCAGGGGGGCCCAGCAGTGCTCAGTAAGTAGCCTTACACATCGCTGTGCCCTGTCTGGCGCCTATTTCCCGGACAGGCCGCGCCTGTGATGTGATGTCTCTGACAGATTTCACGTAGTCTTTGTCAGGAACATTACAGGTAAAAATGCAGCAATGCCTAAAGGGTTTTATTTGAGTCTGGTGTGGTCTCTGCTCTCCTGAAGCATTTTTCTGAGGAAAGGGCTTTATCTCCGACTCCTTGGGCTAAATTCTTTGTTCCTTTGAGCCAGCAGGATTCAAGGATTCAAGTGTGAAAAGTAAGAGGTGCTTGATCCTGGCACGTTGTGAAGGTTTTGGTGGTTGTGAAGAAGGGGGCTGAGTTTGTAACAGAAGTTGGACTGTATGTTAGAGCCTGTCTTTGATCTTGAATTGATCATGTTTGTTTGATGGGAAAGCTGTATACTGCATAACCTGGACAATTTGTGTTAGCACTGAAATGGGGGAGCAATTTGCAGCAGTTTGATCGTGACTTAGAGCAGAAAATAAAATTCTAAATCAGGAAGGAAAGGAAATTTCTGAAATGCAGCAGGTTGTTGGTATTTTGTATGTTCGTCTTTTGCACCTGTTGAAGAGTAACAGGAATGACAACCTGATACAATTTGGGAAACAGAAGATGGGCCCAGCATTTAATGAAAGAGGAGGCAAATTGTTAGCAGCTTTGGACTGTTACATTGCCATAGGGGTGTCCTATAAACAGTGTTTGTTTGGATGCCCTGAGCTCTGTGCATTTGACAGTACTGATTCTGCCTTGGCAGAATCCAAAACCCTTGAGTTACTATCTTTAAATCTATCACAGTGCCTAAGGTTTTGTCTTTGCTATGTGTTTATCAGAGAAAGCAATGCAGGCATCTCTAAGACAACGAGCTAACCGAAAATTTAACTACATATATTGTTTTGGCATCAGGCAGCATAGCATGTAGTGTGTATTAATCATATTTTTAATGCACTGTAGAATTTTAAGGCACAAGTTCAGAGTAATATTGGAGCTTCTGTATTTAAATAAAAACATTGAAATGTAATGTCTAAGTGTTGCTCTGTTCAGACTTTGTAGAATCTCTGTGTAGTGTGAAGAACTGTTCTGAATCAAGTGAATATTGCTAATTCCTTAATTTTCAGGGGCCTTGGTGGGGGTTTTGGATCTGTTTTGTTTTTTGTTTGTTTTTTTCTGATGTGATTGAATCCTACAGGCTTGAGTATTGATGGGCTTGGCCTATCCCTATCCACATCCCCTCCTCCCCAGATTTCTAGAATCCAGTGGGGACTAGCCCATGCTTTGCTGAGGAACCCATTGACTATACCGAAATCTGTCATGGAAGTCTCTTTCAGAATTTTATGACTTCCTTGGGATTTTATTCTTGTTTGGTGCAAGGTTAATTTATTGTTGCTCTTACTTTACCACCATGAATTCTTTATTGTGAATGAACTTGATAGAAGTACAAATGCTTTCCTCCAAGCATGTTGCATACTTACTTGAAGACATTGACAAAAGAAATCCTAACTGTCAGTGAACATTTTTAAACAAACCAGTTGATAGTGCATCCCACAAATCTGAATAGCTTTCTTCTCTTACAGTCCCTTCTTCTCACCCTTTACTTTCTCCCACTGCTGGCTGCTGCTACTGCAGAGGTGAATCACTTGAATGAGGAAACCCATGAAGAGATCCCCTCCTCCCCGTCCACCCCACAGTCTCTTTCCGCCTTCTTTTTTGGTTCTCTGCCTTCCACAAATCACCTGAAAACTGTTCTCACTGAGGAGAAAAACTAGAAATCAAACTTTCTGGACGTTGTTAGGAAAGTACTTTTGGCGTTAATGACAGATGCACCTCATTTATGCAACCTGATGGTCTGATGTAATATATGACTACATCACTGACATCAGGGAATGGCATAACATGGGATTTAGAATTTAGAATTTCTCTTGTGATACCAAGGGAGGAGGAAGTGAGGAAGCAGAATTATTCAGAATGATTTTTCTGTCTACCAGAAGAGAATTAGGATGTGTGTGTGGTTCACCAAGACTCAAAAGTAATAATTTGTTAGACTTGAAATTGTGCCGTCAGCGGTGGATTGACTGACTGCTGAGACATACCATATCCAGAATATATTCTAGAAGTCTTCCTGTAAAGTAGGGGGACATTTTCTTCTGCTAAATGGGGCATTATTTTCAATTTGGTCTGACCAGAATATAACCTTGGTGAAAGAGTCCTGCACATTTAATTGAAGATTTTAGGTATATTTGAAGGATTCAGGACTTTTAAGTTAAGATCATCTCTGTAGTGACTTTAGTTTCACATGATCCATTCTATTAGATTTTGTGGGATTTTTTTGTTCACCTGTCTTCATCTATAGTTTTACTGGATCCATGGCATTCATGTCCATTCTAAAATTTCACTAACTGGTGAGGGAGTCCTCTTTTTTTGATTGCTGTTTCAACTTTTTTTTTTTTGGTTAATGTCTTGCATTCCCCTTTACTACAAAGAAGCTTTTTGTTCTCTGTTAAATTAAGCTGAAGGATCATCTGGGTGTTGATAAATTACAGTTGTCCTATTGAAGT